CTATGCGAATAGGCAGTTCGGTCGGTTAGCTTGTTGGCTGTCGAGTTGGTCTTCTGGGCTCGGGAGCGGATAAAAACGAGTCGCAAATGCAGCGCGGCTGAACACGACGTGGCGTGGCTTAAGATAGTTTGTGGCGTTAAGTGCACTAGAATACAGATAACGGTTCTGACCAACTAGTGTGGAAGAGCGTGCCAATTACAGCAAGAGAGCGCACCAAAGAATCGTGATAGAGTTTTGCGCTGCCGTTGGTAATAGCTTCAGCTACGCTTGTGTCTAGCCATAGTAGTCAGTGCTTGAACATTTATTCATCCGAATATTTGGAGGAAACTAAATATGCACATATGTATGTAGGTAAGTATGTAGTACGTACGTAGGAAATAACATCATTTTTAAGCTGAACACTTGAATATGAAATATCACAAATACTATGCCTGCAAGCGCATCCAACCGTGTCTTTAATCAAAAAAGTTGCCGTTCCCAACCAAATGGCTCAGTAGGTCAACTGTATCATCCGCCCCTTACCACTGTGATTGCCTGGCTTAGCGCTAGGCGAATGAATGCACTTCACATATCTACCACTTTTTAGCCGATGCAAGACTGTATTTTGAGATTTATTTTAAGAACTGAGTAGACTCAAGCGCCTAGACAAACGTGAGCGAGACCAATGCTTTTGGACGCGTCAAACGGATCCACAAAGGAACCGTTCGTGGTGAATGTTCCGTTTTAACTGATTTGCTTGCATGGACTGCCACTACCGTTTTGGACTATCCCAATGCAAAATATCGTATTCATATTGCAACGCATAACAGGAAACCCAAGCCAAGTGTACAGCTTTTTTGTTTGTGTGTACATATGTATGTATGTATACATATGTAGATAAATCCACGAGCGTTGCCTGTTGTGAACAGACACCAATTGGCAGGCGGATGGTGGATGGTGGATGGTTACACTGGGCACTGTAGCTGCTGACTTTGATTCTGGGTTTGGTTCTTGCTGCTACTGTCTGCGGCCGAGTCTTGCGATGCAGCGCTCAACTCGTGTTGCAATAGTCAGAGTTTTCGTCGGTAGCGATAACAACAATGGCTATAATAAAGCAGTTGTGTTTGCCGCAGTTGGATTTTGGATGTGGTTTGATGGTAGAGAATGTTGATGCTTTTTCGGCCCATCTTTTGCGAATGCACACCATGCCGAAGAGCAAGTTCATGCGCATTCGAAACATTCTTATATGTACATATGTATGGAATATATGTATATTTCTAATGCACCTGAAATATTACTTTGAGAGAATTTGTCTCTCTTACAGCACTCGTCAACTGTCGGTGGATGTGCGGCGACGCAGTGTGTATGTAAACAAGTGTATTTCAATATTTATATATGTATAAGTACACATTTGTAACTTTTGATATAGATATTAGCATGTATTGTGCTTTGTGTATGTACTCATATGTATACATACGTGTACATATGTACATTTAAATAAAGCAGGTATGGCGCTCGCGAAAGTAATGGATTGGCTCCCATTCCAGCGCTCATCTTCATTTCCTGGCTGTTACTATCTTATCGACTAACTGTGCGGTCTCCCAACAGCACTTCGTTCAAATTCCGCATTCTGTCGCAGCTCACGAACACCACCAACGTTATAGGAATTCCCCGAATTAACGACATCAATGACACTGTGTGTATGTATATATCTCGATATTTACGCTACTTATACACACACACACACACACATACTCGTACGTTTATAATTTGCACACCGTATTTACTGAACAATGAGGATGTTGACCGCCTTCGTACCACTGTTGGACTTTAGACAACGTTATGATTTTGAGTTCGTTGTTTTTGCATTGCATCACATAACTCGAGAATGTGAATATTATCACGAGACAACAATATAAAACGGACGGCACGTGCTGTGTCGAATACTCTTACCCACTGGCCGCTCTCTCTTTTATGAGGTTTATCTCTTTGTTTACATTTCGAATGCAGTTCCTGGTGCTAAGCCCAGGGATTTCTTGGCATGTTGCCACAAAAGCCATTTAAGTCCTGCCTCAACATAATTCAATTACCCAATTCGCGCTGAGTATTTATGTTTTTGCCTACTTCTCTCGTGCTCTTACTCTTGCTCTGTTGTTGTCTTTCATATACATACATACACGTATATACATATCATGACATGATAAGGTGGATGCGCCTCGAGCACCCTATAAGTGTGAACTCAAAAAACGTTGGAACGAACAAAATATACACAAGATCACCGTACCATTATAATTGATAAGAAAGACCTTTAATTAATATGAGCGAGTGTACAGAAGATTACTTAATCGTATGTTGATCCCCGAAAAGCTCTAGGACAAATAAAATGCAAAATTAAAAGAGTTTGCTTCTTTTTTACATTCCTGAACAAAATAGAAAAAATGTGATATTGAATTAGGAGTGAGTAACTCTGAAAGGTATTTGAACGCTTCGAGTTAAAAATTATTTATTTCCAAAAACAACCGCCGAAATATTTATTTAACACCGGAGGGCTTGCTGCTCTGCTGCTCTAAATAAAATTATCAAAAACCAAAGGATCAAAATAAATCAAATAGTTTTATACCAGTGTCTCTTTGTAATCCCTGAAGCGATTTTCGGCAGAGCCCCTCCTTTATTTTATGTCCGAAATACACTCGGAAACTTGATATTCCGTGACGAAAATATTAAAAACGATATTTCTAATATTCAGTTATTTTATCTAATTTTAATTTATTATGTCTAATTGATGCTGCCAAATATGAAAACAGTAGAGACGACAGTATTTCCAAAATACAAAAACTTTTCAGTGCGATTTGATTTATGTTATACCAGGTATGTTATACCACTTACAGCGCACTTGAAAAAATATTTTAATCAAAAATCTTCTAACTGGGTGGCTCTGCGACTTGAATTATTTATTTAAAGATTACTGGAGTGCGTTCCAAGCAGATCTTACTGCACAAATTTACCATACCTAATCACTACGATATCCAAACTGCCACCCGATTTCTAAAATGCGACTTTAAAGCGTCAAAAGTGGCAATAATATTTAGAGTCATTCTGAAGACATTCTAGGGATAGTCTAGCAAGGCCATACTCTGAGTATCCGCTTCGCGGCGGATGAAATTGCAAGAGGCGTAACCATCTTATCTAATATCAGCTCCTCTAAAGAAATGGGCAACCTAAGAGAGTACAATATGAAGTACCAAATGGGAGAACTTAAGAAAGTCTCCATTACTAAACAGTCGCTAACTTTGTAAAAAGCTAAATATTCGGCTTGACAGGCTCTTCAGCGGTCCGGTACTATTAAGCTTAAGTTGTGTGCGATAAGGTATGTTCTATATCTCGATTTTTCCAAAGCTGAGCTGCATTCAGTCGTTTGTGTTACAACCCGATTAAAACTTTTCCCAGAAATCTATAGGAAGAAGTACATATAGACGAGTTTAAGTTGTTTTGGTTTTAAACTAAAGTCTTCTTATCTACTTTAACTAATTATCAACTGTAGACAACCCATCACCAATATTATTTTCATTGTAAGCCCTATTAATTTCAACAGTTTGATACCCACATTGTAATGTAACGGTCTCGTTAGAAATTAACTGAATACTGATTAAAGCAACTCGTGGCTCCCTACTTTTATAAAAAAAACTCCAAAAAAAAAAAGAAATGAAATTTAATGAGGAATGCTTATTATCTTTTAAAAGAAAAGTCTTTGGGAGTTTATTTCAGAGTTTGGCTGTTGCTACGTCTCAGATGGCCCATCCGTTGAGTCCAATTTTCGATGACTCCTTTCGGCATTTCCACATGTAACTAATCAAGAATCGTAGCGGGACTCTAGTTCGACTCTAGTCTTCACATATCTCCACAGGAAATTGTCTAACGGTGCGGTATCACATGATCTTGGTGGCCAATCGACCGACCCAATATATGAAATTATCTGCTAACCGAAGTGTTCTCTCAGTAATTGCATTAATTGATGCGATGTGTGGTAAGAGACGCCGTCTTGTTGAAACAAAATGTCGCAGAAATCACGAGCTTCAGTTTCAGGAATAAATAGTCGGCTATCATGGGGCGATAACGGTTACTCTCCAGCATCATATTTGATTCCACCGGCCCACAAACCACACCAAACCGTTCCAAATGTGGCAATTTTTCCGTTTATATAATCCTTGAGCTAGAAGTAAGCCTCATCGCTGAAAAAAATTGGTTTGAAAACGTAGGATATTCTTGAAACTTTTCAAGAGCCCAGCGTCTCCTTCTTCTTGCAAAAGCTGTATTTTGTAAGCTTTCAATTTAAGATATCGACGTAAAATGCGCCACTTCGTTCCATTCGTCGGGCACCAAATCGACTCTCCATGGTCTTCGTGTACACTCTCAGGTACGGCCACTATATTTTCTTCACGGCGTACTGGGCGTGGTCGAATATTATCCAATAATAAATGTGGGGTCTCAAGATCGGTGATGGTGTTGCGAATAGTAAGTTGGCCATAAGTTTAGCGTAGCGCGAGAAAAACATTCTTTAAATAACGTGAATTTTCGTAATAAAGTTGAACGATTTGTAAGCTGTTTTCAGGCGTAAGTCTCTCCATGAATAAACGCCAAACAATACTGAACAAAACAACACCGCAGCTTGAAACGACTCATGCGGGATCTGTCAAAAAAACGAACCTCCACTTGGATCACTTAATGATGCTGTCCTGATAGATGGAAAGCCAAGTTATGAGCTCACACTTTGTGTATTTCGTTCCCCATTCCTAGCGCACTAAATCCGAGTGTGCATTTGCTCATCTCTAGTCAAAAGTATCTAATTGAAATCGACACGTAGCAAAACTGAAATAATTCTCAATAGCCCTAATCAGCGTTTTTCCTAGATCTTTATAATAACATTTCAAAGGGAAATACAATAAATAGGTGATTTTCGATAACAAAATTTCAACAACTTTTGATTCAGATTTAATTTTATTAATAATATTTATATTGTCATTTTGTACTTTTTCATTTCAATATTAGGCTGATAACATTCCCCAATCATTATCGTTGTATTTCCTCTCTTTCTATCAAAAATAGGTCTTGAAAAGTAGTGAATTTTTTTTGGCTTTTACAGTGGTGGAGGTTACAGCTGGATGAAACTAAACACAGGGTTGAGCATTTGCGGTTTTGCAAATAAATGTAAATAAAACGCGTTTAAAATTTTTTTATGAAATTGATTTGATCCACCACTTTTTGGCACATCGGTTATTGCGGTCTTCTGCGTATGCTTGAATATTATTGGAGCGGGACGCGGATAAGAATAGTCTTTGCTGTATTTTGTGGGTTCCATGCTAATTCAACCTACTCCAAGAATTATTATGGAACAAGTAATCAAAAGAGATAAGCCCTTCTGGTGTTGCGTAATTGCTAGGTTTGAGTCAGTTAATGCTGCTTCTGTTGATTCGTAAACTATGAAGAATATGGGAAGAAGTAATATTAAAAATTGAGAGATTAGTTTTAACCCTGCTCAGGTAACATTGATTCTCCTGCCTGAGTATTTTGCTCATATATTTATAAATAAGTAAAGCGTTACATGCTCAAATAAGATATTTTGTTCATTATTGAACCTTAAACTTGAAAAATGTTTATTTATTTAACTTTTAGAGAAAGGCACTCAGCGTAAAAAGTGGTGCAACTTAGAAATATTTTCGATTAAAAAATTGTGTGAGCAAAATGCACGCCTTCTTTTAGGGTTGAACATACGCCCAAACGGAGAGACGAGCATGGCTAGATCAATTTAGCTATAGTCATTCGGATCATATCGGTATAAATTTCCACGCCGATAGGCCGCATCTCCTCCTGACATTTACATTCTCGGCCCAAAACGAAAATATTCATTCAAGTTCATGGAAGGTATGCAAATATGGCATACATTTTCTTAAAAAAAAGCCAGGGAGCAATTTATTTTTACATTTTTACAGAGCCACGAAAAGGAAAATGAGTAGTTTGCTTCTCTCGATCTTTTCTACCTTCATACTTCGTTATAGTGTCGGTTTTTTTTAATAAACTTATTCAGAAAGCTTCAATATTTAATGCTACTTAATAATTAAATGTAACTTAACCTAAACTTTTTTTTTTCAAATATAGACCTTCAGCTTGCTACAATTGGTTCCCGCTTTCTTTGGTCCTTGCCGCTAAACAAATGTATGAATTTACGTATACAAAAGTGCACGTCAATATTCCAGCTTCTATACATTTGTTCAAGTGCGAGCGTATGTAGCAAATGAGCAGCAAATATGCATTTTAACTAGAAGAGGGGGCTGGCTTTTTAGTTGCCATTTTCGTCTTACAATGGGGTCCCTACTTAACTTTTAAAAAAAAAAAGAGAGAAACAATACCAACTACAAAAGGCAGTGCATCAGATTTACAACGATACCCCAAATAACAACCTTGCGAGACCAGTAATACTCACGAACAACAACAGTTAGCTTCAAAACGGAAACCACATAACCAATGCTACGAATGAAGCGCTCGGAGAATTCTTGGCACTTGGTGGATATGTAGGAATGGCCAAAGCGTGCACTAAACTGAACGGAATACTTCAATTTAGCCGGCGTTTTTCAATTGTTCGGCCAGAAAATACAACTAAGTCAACAAGGAAATGGTAAGCTGCTCCAGCCATATATTATGTGGAGTCGCTCCAAGAGCCGAACACATCGCGGATACCGAATTTGGGAGCAAAAGAGATTTGAAACAAAAGAAATTGAGAGCACCTAAGAGCGCGCCGTATATATTATTCAAATCTTACTTTGGCTTGAAAGCAGCTTTCCCACAGTTAAATGAAAGAAACAAGGGTTGTTCTAAAATAAAAGAGCACTATTTCAAGAGTATACTGAACTCAGTATACGGTTCGCTCTCATTCTGTTCTACACAAGAACTGCATTGCTCCAGCACAAAAGCGCGAGTGCACCGCGAGAGCACAACCATGAATTCATCAATTTACATTTACCAGGGCAATAATGATCCCCTGCCTCTTGTGGCCTTACGTTGGCTTGTATTAAGGCAGGTCATGCCTATAATTTGTCTTTCCTTTCGAAAGAGAGATATGCATAGCGCTGTCAGTTGAGTAAGCGAAAGCTGGCCTGAGATTTGGCGAGTCCTGGCGGCGGCAATGGGCTTAGTGCTGCACACATGCACATAGACTAATTGTTGTAGTTACACACATTTTGTGCCACACATGCAAATGCCAAATGTAAAATATATTTATTTTAGTATTTATATGTACTTATTGGAAAATCGCTAATTCGCAGGCGTACAGCAAGTCACGCAAGTAAACGGATGTCTCATTCAGAGGTGTTTATGGGTGAATGTTCTATGACATACATATATATTTGCATACACTCATAGTATATACAAACAAACACATGGAGAGGCCGACTTATATATACATATACACATTCATGTATTATATATATGTATATATATGGAGTACACCTGCGATTTTCAACACAAACCCGCCGCGGCGCCTCCTTTGAACAATTACCAAGCCGCCTAACATCCGCTGCTTGTGAATCCCACTTAAGTTGGCGGCGTATTTGGATTCGCACGCTTAACTTTTGTTGCACTGGTGCATGCGTGTATGTGTACCGCTTAAGTGAACTGCAATTGGAGTAAGATGTTTCTACAATTAGGTTTTAGAATCAACAATACATATTGCCAAGCGTGCACTTGCTCTCTTCGTCACCGCTTTTCCTATTGTCAACAGAAACTTTTAGCAAATATTTAATTAGACTTATCCGTTTTACTACAACTAACAAGCAGGCACATATGTATAAGTGCACATACATATAATCCAAATATATGTTAGTATGTATGCAGAACATGACACCTGAAATTTTGAGTAAGTTGTATAGGTGAAATTCTCGAACGAATGAGTATGCATACATACTGCGCATATGTATGTAGATACATATACATTTACATTTACATTTACATTTACGTTTACATTTACGTTTATGGATAAGTGTGTACCATAAATTTATAATTTCGTAAGTAAATGCACAAATATTATGTTTGTAAATACATGCAAAAAACATATCCATGACGTAACTGTCTAACTGTACACACGCATACAGACAAGATAATGAATTGTTGGTCTGTATACTAGTGTGGTCCAAACGGATTTATTTGCCTGCCAGTAGGTATTGTATTTCTATAATTATCGGGACCCTGCCGAGCTACACCCGTTTCTAGGTAAAAATATGAGTACGAGTACTTCGTAATATTGAATATTTAAAGCATTAATAGATCAAATTCAAACTGACTTCAAATATGTCGAACCTGGAGCAGTCGTCGTGTGAGACATCAACCCTTTCCACGAAGTTTAAAGAGCCTTGCTATCGATGTTCAACAAGTCCTTTGAACGGCGAAGACCTAAGAACCATCAACGGTCCTGCAGTATGTTCGATACTGCGAGAGAAAAAAATGGGTGTGTCTCCCTTTATTGCCATTTCACATGAATTTGCCGATCTAGTATTCCGTTCAAGTTTTCCAGCGCACCCTGATCTGTTTTTCGGCTTTTTCGGATATAATATTGTGCATTATTTCTGGCAACTAACTCACAATGTCTCTGTGGCAGTAAATTTTAATTATTTATAAGGCACCATTATATGATTTGTTATAGAAGTTCCGGATGAACCAGCAGGTAACGAGTCTTGAAATATCGCTACGTTTCCTCGATTTGCTTCTAAAAATTATATCCCTACAATGCCTTGAAACTTTTGAAAAATGGAAACGTTCCTGTATTTGAGTTACGAATATTTTTATATTGTATTACCAAAATAGCGTTGGACCTAATAATGAATTCCATAAAAGACATAACTTTAATGGAGAAAAAACAATAATAATAAGGACACAAGGGGCAATACATGACATATAGATATAGATATAGTTTCTTAAGCACCGAGATTTAAAACTGCTGAGTTACTGAAATCAAAATCATTAGCTGAAACAAAAGAATTAGAATATTTATACTACGAATAGTATAGAGTACGAAGCTGAGAGAAGTTTGTATAGTGGTTTTCGTTACTAAAAATGAGTATAAACAAATTATTTCAAGCATTTCTCCACTACTGAAAAATGTGGGTGGTAAGATTTAAGCGGCCAGTATACTGAGGAATATTATGGCGCGAGTCCCGTTCGAAATGTATCAAAGTTATTTTTTTAATTTCGGCCACCCCTCGGCAGGGAATTCGGACCCCACTTCGTTCCTGCTTAGTCATCTTATACAGGAGTTTTTTATGTATTTGTTGAAATTAATGTTACATTGCATAATATAAATAGTGGTACAATTAATAGCAGTAGAATGTAATATATTAAATAAATATGTTTAAACGAGGTGTGTTCAAAAAGTATCGCGAATTTTGAATTTTCGCGGGTTACGTATAATCGAATTTCGATTTTTTTGTGGCGTTATGTTGGTACTCATGTCTGTCACTTATGCCGGCAACCCTGGCCATTTTGAATGTTCCCTTAATTGTTGTTTTAATTTTTAATGAAAGTTTTGTTGACAGTTTTCTTCGATTGCAGGGATAGAACGGTCAATGAGGAATATTACCTGCAAGTTATGCGCAATTTGTGAGAAGCCATCCGACAGAAACGCCCGGATTTGTGGAAGAACAAAAATTGGCTTTTGCACCACGATAACGCCCCTGCTCACACATCGTTGCTTGTGAGCGACTTTTTGGCCATAAACAACACACTAATGATGCGGCAGCCACCGTATTCCTCAGATCTGGCCCCCTGTGACTTTTTCTTGTTTCCTAAACTGAAGAGGCGCATGAAAGGACGCCGTTACGCTACGATTGACGAGATAAAGACGGCATCGAAGGAGGAGCTGAACAAGATAAAAAAATGATTTTTTGAAGCGCTTCGAAGATTGGAAAAACCGTTGGCACAAGTGTATAATATCTCATGGGATTACTTTGAAGGGGACAAAATAGATATTCATGAATAAATAATAGTTTTAAAAAAAAACACAAAATTCGCGATGTTTTTTGAACACACCTCGTGTATATAAATACATATTTTGAGCAACGCTTTACAAGTGAAAAAATATTTCCTATTTATGAAGATGACTGAAGATTTTTTCGTCAGAATACCATGAAAGAAGTTGAGTTGAGCTGACGCGGCTACTTCTACTAGTACACTTAGGCCAATAGACCCATTGTGATACCGCTTCTTAGATGACCGAACCATTTCGTGTGTCTTATAAAGGCAACAAGATTTCCAATATTCGCTGAGGCTTTCTCACCGAGACAGTCGAAGAAATGTTTCCCAAGGAATTTGTATCATGCTGATGTCAAGGCTGGACAGTGGCAGAGGTAGTGCTCGATAGGCTTCCTCTTCTTCGTCCCTACAGCTGCGGCAAAAATCATTAAAAATGTAGTCCAAGCTTTTCCCGTGAAGCC